GCTCTAGGACCCGGATTTAAAGAGACAGGCGCTACAACCGTCGTGGCTGCGCGCGGCCTGCGGGCGGCGGGTCAGAGGCCTGCGGTGTGCGCCGGAGTCAGGAAAGCAGGTGAGGGGCGCCGCGGCGGGACCGGGCAGCGGGGAGAGAGGCGGCCGGGGGTCCGGGGCTCGGCGCGGCCCGGAGCCGCTCCTCGGCTCCTCCCCCGCCCGCGGAGCCCCGGGCACACCCTCCGTGACGTGGCGGCCCCCCGGGAGCCCACGGGGGTTGGCTCGCCGCTCCCCGGGACCCCCACGGGCCGCGCAGGGAGGGTGCCCCCGCCCACCGCTCGGGCCGCGCTGGAGTCGGGGCGCTTCGGGAGGCGTTCGGGAGCCTTTCCCTTCCCGCCGCGTCCCGTTCCCCGGCCCCGGGCTGTGTCCTCGGCCCCCGGCCGGCCCGAAGCGAGGGACGCGCTTCCCCGCCTCCCTAGCGGCCAGTAGCGCTGCCCTCTCCGCCGAAAGCGGTCAGGCCCTCCAGGGAAGGCGGCCGCCGGGCTGTCACTTCCCGGCCCGGCGCGGCTCGCCGGGCCTGCGTTCAGGCCTCAGCGGTTCCTAGAACTCGCCTCCCTTTGAGGAAATGCAGACCGCAGCCGTTGGGGGCTGTGGGACAGATGGTTTCCTCAAAGCAGCGTTGTGTCTCCGCGCCCCAGCGCCTCCCGGGCCGGCCTGCGGAGGGTGGGGCGCCGCGAGGGCGCTCCGCTCGGCTGCTTGGATCACGGGGCGGGTGGCTCCTCCGAGGAAGGTGTGGAGACCTGAAGTGTTCTGAGCTCCCCTTACGGGCCTGCCATACTCGCACCTACCTCACCTCTGTGGTTCTTGAACTTCTGCGGGTTATAGAACCCCTTTGTGAATATCATGAAAATCATGGACCTTGTCTCCAAAAAAATGTACATATATGAATGTGCACATTTTGTATGCGTTCTCAGGGAGTCAGAGCCCCCCCACCAGCCCATCATCCATGGATTCATTTTAATTTTCCCAACCATCCGTGAGGTAGGTATTATTTTCCGTTTTAGAAATAAGAAAACTGAGACTCGGAGGGGGTAAATGTAGTCCCTAGACTGGACGGTCATCCTTGCACTCCCATCCGTGATTCCCATCCACGCGCTCTCCTCTGCATGGTGTTGCGCTACAGTAGATAAAGCCTGCTTTTCGTTGTAACCCAGTAGCAATTTCACGACAAAGCGGTGTGCAGGCTGAAAATAATTTCCAGTATATTTCAATTTAGAACTGTGAAGATACTTTGGAAAATATAAGAAGGTGAGGGGAGACCATGCAGATATAATCCGTATTTCCATTTGGGTTGATTTATCAGTTTCTTTGATTCTTGCCATCCAGTTACTTCAGCATTCCCTGATTCAAGGTGCTGAATTATAAACAGGCTAATTGCACATAGGGAGCCTCTGCTTAAAGGATAGCTGCTTCACTGATTATAATAGGAGCTAGTATTTACTGAGCTCCTGTGTGTGCGCAGCTCTGTTCTAAGGGCTTTACCCGTAGAATGACAACCCCTTGAGTTAGGTACTAATATCATCCACATTTTACAGTTGAGGAAACTGAGGAACAGAGAGGTTAAGTAACCTACCAAGATCACATAGCTAATGAGCTAGTATTTGAACCCAAGCAGTCTGTTCTAGGCTCTGTTTAGTTGCCTCTCAAAATAGGGCTTCTGATTAAGTCACAAATCTATATAGTGGCTTATTTATTTTCTGAGGATGGCATGTATGTTATACTTCACGTTAAAAACTTCATGAACATAATGTCATTTTTATTGGTGATTAAAAAGAAACTTCAGGATCTTGTAATACTTAAGGATCATCATCCATTATGATTATCAGATATTGCTGATGGCTGGAGAAAAGCTTTTACATTATTTGGATTCTCTTGATTGTGATTTACTAGATATACATGTGTACATTAGATCATTGAACACTCTTTTTGCAAACTGAATTTCCCTGTATCGGAACTCTTCTTCATCCTGTACGCAATAAATCTTTAATACTTTGGTATGCGTTTGATTAGTCAGCATGGACTGTATTAGGACTTTGACCTTTGAGAAAATTGGAAGCCTAGCTCCTTGTTTGTATCTCACCTTTTCTGACTCACCCTTTCATGCAGCTGTATGACTTTGGCTTTCAAGATCCTCTTCCCACCAACCCTCCGAGCACTCAGCCGAAAAGAACTGTGCCTAATCCGAGAACAACATCACTGGCCTGACATCAGACAATTCAGCCATTGGTCGGAAACAGATCTGCTTCATGGGCGCTGCTTCCTCCAGAGAAGAAAGCCATTTCTGTCATTTCAGGAAGGCAGTCTAGGACCGCGTGCCACCTGCCTTGTTCACTTGCCAGGGTTGCATGTGGGACTCTGCAGTGGCCCCTCTGAGATGGCCGAGCAACGGTTCTGTGTGGACTATGCCAAGCGTGGCACAGCTGGCTGCAAAAAATGCAAGGAAAAGATTGTGAAGGGGGTGTGCCGAATCGGCAAAGTAGTGCCCAATCCCTTCTCAGATTCCGGGGGTGATATGAAAGAGTGGTACCACATTAAATGCATGTTTGAGAAACTGGAGCGGGCCCGGGCCACCACGAAAAAAATTGAGGACCTCACGGAGCTGGAAGGTTGGGAAGAACTGGAAGATAATGAGAAGGAACAGATAAGCCAGCACATTGCAGGTGGGGTAGAGAACACTTTCTCATCTTAAGTGCTGAGAGAAAAAGGGATAAGGAGAGTCGAGGCCAATTTTTTTTCTTTCTTGTTTTTTTTTGTTTAACTTTTTATTTGGAAATAATTTTAAACTCACAGAAGAGTTGTAAGAATAAAATTAATACAAAGAATGCTCATATTCCCTTTACCCAGATTTACCTATTGTTAACATTTTCTCTCTTTGCTTTGTCTTTTGTGTTCATGTGCACTCTGTTACTCTCCCCTTTCACACAGAGGTTTTTTTTCCTGAACCATTTGAGAGTAGGTTGCATACATCATGGCCCTTTGCCTTTAAATAGTAAATGTACATATCTTAAGAATAAGAATATTCTAGGGGGCTGGCCCTGTGGCGCAAGCGGTTAAGTGTGCACGCTCCGCTGCGGCGGCCCTGGGTTCGCCGGTTCGGATCCCAGGCGCGCACCAAGGCACTGCTTGGCAAGCCATGCTGTAGCGGCGTCCCATATAAAGTAGAGGAAGATGGGCACGGATGCTAGCCCAGGGCCAGTCTTCCTCAGCAAAAAAAGAGGAGGATTGGTGGATGTTAACACAGGGCTGATCTCCTTACAAAAAGAAAAAAAAAGATTAGGAATATTCTCTTATATGACCATAATACAGCTATCAACTTCAGTAAATTTATCCTTGATGTAATACTTTAATCTACCATCTGTATTCCAGTTGGTCAATTGATAAAATAATATTTTTTACAGCTTTTTTCCCCCTCCAGTATAGAATCCCAATCTAGAATCAGGTATTGCGTTTAGTTGTCATATCTTTTTGGCCTGCTTTGGTCTGGAACATTTCCATAGTCTTTCTTTTTCTTTTATGACATTGACATTTTTGGAGACTCGAGTACCTACCACCACCCCCTTTAATCTATCAATTTATTATCTGTATGGACTCATAGATTACTAGTTTTTCTTGGTGGCTTATAATTTTACTGTACTTTATTAATTTGGTACTTAATTGTCCCATATTTGGCCAGTTGGGAGCCCTTTTAAGCTGGTTTATCTGTCCTGGATGCCCTCATCACTTTTTTTTAAAATGTGTTAAAAATACCTCCTTACTTTCTGGCATAATAGTCTGCTCTTAGGTTTACCTTGTATGTATCCTACCCTAGCCCTAACATCAGCCATTTCTCTGAAGAATCCTAGTTCCTGTTAATGGAGAATGGCATTAGAAACCAAAATCTGGATGCTGCGTTTCCTTTTTGCCATGAGGTGTCTTTACTTTTAAGCCCTTTCAGCAGATAGAACTAGAAAATACGTAACAGATACATAATAGTTCACATGTATGCATAGTTTAGAAATCTTACACTGATACTTTCAAATCCAGTTAGTCCTTTATGACCTTTAGTGTCCTCATCTTTAAAGTAATATTTGTATCTTTGATTAAGTATGGTCTGGTCACTGTAGGAGGGCTCTAACAGTGGTTCTAAAATTGGGCATCTATCCTTGTTCTTTGAGAGGAAAAAAGACTTCGAGGAGAGAAAACTACTTCTGTATTCTTTTCTCAAGCTCCCTATTCTGCCCTGCCCTGCCTTAGCCAATGGCCTCAGCCTTTGTTACTTTTTGTCCTGTCTCATTCAAGGAAGAGAAATAGAAGGTAGAGTTAAACTGTCAAATAACTCAGTAGCTGGAAGTGTTCCTTCCTGTGCCAAACTGACATGCTCTGTTATCCATCTTCATTTTACTTTCTTATTCATCTATAAATTGGGGCTAATTCTATGGAGCTGAGGTCCCCAAGTTTTATCTATTGAGATGTGATTTCTGATTTCCTCCAGATAATATGGAAATTATTATATGTGGGATAAGAGGTAGAGAGTTAAATGAAAATTTCAGTTACTAATAGAATAAAAGGGTAACTGGGTCTTTTGTCCCCAGAACACCTGACCTCCCAATAGTCTGTTACCTGCTACCTTCACTCAAAAAGACTGGCCAGCCAGCAGCCAGCCTTGGGGGTAATGCCATGGTGGTAACTTGCCAAGCAGGGCTGTAAGAGCAGTTGGTAGATTCTTTGGAAGCTTTCTCAGAGATCTTTCACTGAAGGATATGTTCCCTTCTTTTGGGGTCCTACAGATCTGTCTTCTAAGGCAGCAAGCACACCAAAGAAGAAAGCTGTTGTCCAGGCTAAGCTGACAGCCACTGGCCAGGTGACATCTCCAGTGAAAGGTGCCTCATTTGTCACCAGTACCAATCCCCGGAAATTTTCTGGCTTTTCAGGTAAGATAGGGCTACTTTAGCTGTTACAGTCTTCCTTTTAATTTGGTAGGCTATTTGGGACTCTGGCTAAGAGTGAGGATGCTGTGCTACCTAGTCTCATTAATAATTTGCTTCCATCTGAGCAGAGATGTATGGCTAATTCTCAACACTCCACTTGTATAGGATTTCTTTGTGTACTTTAATCTCTGTTGCGGCACAAAGATGTTTCCTTTGTCAAGACTTTTCCTCCTTGAAGTAGTTACCTAGGTCAGACAGAGATTGTTATAACCTGCCCTTTACTTCGTTGTTTTTTTGTTAATGAAAGAGTTTTGAGAAATTGCATCCCTAAACTTGCCCAACTGGAGATGAGAGTAAGAAGAAGGGAGATGTCATGCGTGGCCTAATGTAACAGATAGCATTGAGCCAGAGCCTTTTACGATGTAGTTTCATTTGTTCTTCCTTTATCCTTAGGAAGTATTTTATTGGGCCCATTTTATGAATGAGAAAGCTGATGTTCAGGTTCACTATGGGGTTAGTATTTACACTGAAGTCTAACAACTCTGACATCTGTGCACTTTTACCCTACACCCTGCTACCTCTTTTATTTGGAGACATTCTTGTGACTGACTCAGGTAGAAAAAAATAAAGCTAAAACACGTGGACTCAGAAGTTGTTTGGAGAGGTAGCTTTATGTGAGTGAAAGAAGCCTAGACTTGAGGTCAGAAGACCTGGGTCCTGGTTCCCGCACTGTCGCCTGACAGCTTGCTCTGGGAAGCAAGTCCCTTCGCCTCTGGCCTCATCTGTGAAGTGGGAGTGGCAATACCTGCCCCGTTTGCCCCACACTGTTCTCACGAGGACTAAAGGATCTAAGATCGCAAAAACGGTGTCTGACTCTATGGGATTTTTATTATTTTAAAACTCTGAAGTTTGTTTTTTGTTTAATGGTAGGCCAAAGATAAAAACACAGGAGAGTGCAGGTGACAAAAAGGACAGCATGTTTCTGGAAGGGACTTTGGGAGGAATCGAGAGAAACAGGGTGTTCTCATTCTCGCGACCTGCTGAACATCGATGCTTTGGAGATTTTGCCCCCTAAAATCCTCTTTAGACTTCAGGTCCGAAATGAGGATGGATTTATAATTTACAAAGCCCAGACAAGAAGCTTATAGCAGCAGCCTACTTGTAACGGCTCTGCTACAAGCTTGCAGAATGAAATTTGCTTTGGAAATGGTCACAAGGAGGTAAGAGGGGATCTCTCAGGAGTTGTACAGTTATTTTGGAGTGTCTGGAGGAAAGCTCTGCTCATTGACCACCTTTTATTTTCACAGAAAGAAAAGAGAGTGGTGATGGAGGTGGGTGGGAGTGGCGAGAGGCTGGGAATGTCTTCGCTTCTCAGGCTTTGGTCTCCTCATCAGTAAGAAGAGATTGAACTGGATAATCTTGGAGGTCTCTTCCAGCTCCTGCAATCTGCCATAGCTGTGATTTCACGTTGACTAACCTGTCCCTTGACTTCTTGTCTCTTCCTCAATCCAATTTGTCAGGGGTCAGCTTTACAATTGCTCTGAGATCCTCCTGATCACTCCTGGCATGAAGGCAGCCTTTGTTCTTCTGTGCAGCAATCATATAAAGACATGCACATCAGCTGATCTCCTGCTTTGATGTGAGGCCACTGTTTCTTTACCATTAATTGCTGTGAGATTTGGAGAAATTACTTGACCTCCATTTCTTTACCTGGAAGATGGGTATAATGATATCTACCCCAAAGGACTATTTTGAGAGATTAAGTGAAGCTACATATAGAGCACCAGCAGAGTGTCTAATTTCCCTTTCTTCCTTCTCAGCAAGGCAAAATGTATCATCTCTGCTATTTCTCTCTCCTTTTTCCTCTGTCCAACAGCCAAGCCCAACAACTCTGGGGAAGCCCGCTCAAGCCCTACCCGTAAGACAAGTCTGTCCTCAAGCAAATGTGACCCCAAGCACAAGGATTGTCTGCTACGCGAGTTTCGGAAGTTGTGCGCCATGGTGGCTGAAAATCCTAGCTACAACACCAAGACCCAGATCATCCAGGACTTCCTTCAGAAAGGCTCAGCAGGAGGTGGGGCCTAGAGCATCCTGGATGGGCTTTTCCTCTGCAGAGTTCAGAGCCATGGCCAGCTTCATGGGCATGTGAACTATACAGTTGAGCAGGGCCCCATGCTTGGTTTAATGCTTTTCTCTTGCTGTCTTGAAATTCTTAATTTTTTTTTTTTTTTTTTTTTTTTTTTGTGAGAAGGATCAGCCCTGAGCTAACATCTGCCAATCCTCCTCTTTTTGCTGAGGAAGACTGGCCCTGAGCTAGCATCCATGCCCATCTTCCTCCACTTTATGTGGGACGCCGCCACAGCATGGCCTGACAAGTGGTGCATCAGTGCGTGCCCGGGATCCGAACCCGGGCTGCCAGCAATGGAGCACGAGCACTTAACTGCTATGCCACGGGGCCGGCCCCTGAAATTCTTAATTTTGAACAAAGAGCCCTACATTTTCATTTTGTGCTGGGCCCTGCAAAGTATGTAGCCAGTTCTGCTCAGAGCATATTGGCATCTTTCTTCCTCTGCCCTTATTCTGCCCTCAGGAGGCCAGAAGAACCTATCCCATTTGACCAACAGGAAAATTCACTATCCTGCATGTTTGATTAGGTTTTTGTAAACCATAGGCACGGCTTGGAATAGAATCTTCCCACTCTGGTTTCTGTCATTCATCTAACGAATCATCATTGGCATCTGTAATGTGCTCATCACTAGGGACACTGAAGTGCAAGTCAGGGCTCTGCCCTGCAGGAGTTCCTCCAGGGACTAAAGGGGAGGCAGACACATAAACTACCAACCACCAAATGCTGTGACCTGTACTATAGTGAAATGCACAGGGTACTATGGCAGCAGAGGTAGCGATGGAGATGTCTTTTGGTTCCTTGAGTTTATGTGTTTATTTGCTTAAGCTCCATCTCTGAAGAAAGGTTCCTTCCTTCTGTCTTCAGATGGTTTCCATGGTGACGTGTACCTAACAGTGAAGCTGCTGCTGCCAGGTGTTATTAAGAGTGTTTACAACTTGAATGATAAGCAGATTGTGAAGCTTTTCAGCCGCATTTTTAACTGCAACCCAGATGATATGGCACGAGACCTAGAGCAGGTCAGAGGAAGGAGAGGGTGGGTGGCATTCCAGGTGGGGTTCTGCCAAGCCAAGCACCTGTAACCTCTTTTCTCTGGTTGGGGCATATACTGTTTTAGGAGACTGAAACCCCTTTGAGCAAGCTTCTGTTATGAGAGGAGCTGATATGTGAGTCTTCAGCTGTAAGTTTCACCAGGTTTTGAGGACTGAGATCATACTACTGCTGAGCCACGAGAGGCCTAGATCTTGAGGGTCAGGATTTGAGACTTCCTGCTGTCTCTCCTGGGACTGTCATCCTGGATCCTATTTTTTCTTGCTCTTTTTTTTTCCCCTGTAACTTGGTAAGCCCCTATAATGGGCTTACCATTCAGCTTTGGTTTGTTCCTGACTCTGGCCTTGGCACCATGGAAAGTTTCTATCCAAGCACCCCCGTTATCTGATGACCATATTGGTCTCTTAGTTTAAATTCTAACAGGAATCCAATTGGCTCAGCCCTGGATTAGTTCTTGGGTCATTTTTCAGCTAAGGCAGGTGACCAGATCCTATGCCACATGGAGGTGCCCTTTCCAGGAACTGTGGGTGGGATAGGTTCTCTAAGAAGTGAGGTCGATATGTGTGAGTGATGGTTAAAATCTCTGATTCACCTTTAGCCCTGGGAGCCTGGGGGATACCCTTGGCCACTCGGGTTGCTGCAGTGGCATTTTGGTTTTTGGAGACAGGGTGACGTGTCAGAGACAATCAGAGTCTTCTTTGAGCAGAGCAAGTCTTTCCCCCCAGCTGCCAAGAGCCTCCTTACCATCCAAGAGGTGGATGAATTCCTCCTGCGGCTCTCCAAGCTCACCAAGGAGGATGAGCAGCAACAGGCCCTGCAGGACATCGCCTCCAGGTCAGGGAGCTGCCCAATGGGGTGGGGCCTGGGGAGATGGAATCAATAGGGAAGGAAGGTTTAGGGGTTCAGAGATCATCAAAGACCAAGTCGAATGTGCCTCATGCTCCTAGGTGTACAGCCAATGACCTTAAGTGCATCATCAGGTTGATCAAACATGATCTGAAGATGAACTCAGGTGCAAAACATGTGTAAGTACCAGCTCCTCTGACAGACTAAGCGGCCAGCTTCCTTTGTTGCCTGCTGGTGTCAGGACTTCAGAGTCCTGACCTGGGTTTGAATCCTGATTCTACCCTCTTCCTTGCTGTGGGACCCATAACTTGACCTAGCTCAGCCTCCATTTTCTCATGTGTAAAATGGAGATAAGAGTACCTTTCTCACAGTGTTGTTAGGATTGAAAGTATGGAATATGTTCAGTAAGTATAGTGTGAGTCTCTTGCCCACTCCAGCCCCATCTTTGCTAAGGTGGCATCCATGCAGGCACAGTATCGCAAAAGAGCTGAGTTTTCCAAGAGGTTTTTTTTCTGTGGAAGTCTTTAGACAGTAAGACATAACCCCTCCCCTATATATTGGGATCCCCCCTCTCTCTAGAAAACAGACTGCTATCCAAAGCAATAAGGTCAAAAGCAGTGGTTTTTGTTTCCTTGCTCCTGTCTGCCTCGGCAGGTTAGATGCTCTTGACCCTAATGCCTATGAAGCCTTCAAAGCTTCACGCAACCTGCAGGACGTGGTGGAGCGGGTCCTCCACAATGAGCAGGAGGTGGAGAAGGAGCCCGGCCAGAGACGAGCTCTGAGTGTCCAGGCCTCACTGATGACCCCGGTGCAGCCCATGCTGGTAAGGATGCTGCTCTGGCCCTGCTTTCTGCTCCTTTCCAAGTATCCTATTCCGTGTGAGATCTGATAGGGTACAAAGGCGATAGATAGCCCTTGCAAGTTGACTGGAGGAGTTTGGGGAAGGAAGAGTGGCGATGCAGAGGGGTGTTCTCAATGGGGAAGAGAAGACAAAGGAGAAGACAGCATGATCTAGTGGGAATACCTGAACAGGCCCAGCTCTGCCACCAACATGCTGTGAAATCTTGGATGAGTTACTTAGCCTCTCTGGGTCTTTAGTTTCCTTGTGCGAATGACATGTGAAACCCTTGGAAGCATTTACCTAGAATGGTTCATCTGTCTTCTGTCCTGAAGATGGGGGTATATTATGTAACCCCTGAGGTTCTGCGACCTGCTCCAGAGTAGCTCTGAGAGTGGCAGAGCCAGGCTTCCTATGACAGGGTGACTTGGGCTTCCTTTTCTTCTGGAAAGAGGAATCTTAAGGAATGAGGACCAGCCTTGACAGAGATCTTCTTGGGCCTCTGTTCATGAATCCCATTTCCTGAGAAATGGATTTCCTTCCTGACATCAGTTTTCCTGTGCAACAAGACCCTCCACGGATGTTGCCATGCCTACTGTGAGAGCCTTTGGGTTGTTCCAGTGGTGTGCAGTGCTTTTTATGAAATTGTCTTGTGTGTTACACCCAAGCCTTGGTTTAGGGTTCTGTGTTTGGGATAGGGAAGTGTTCTCTCCCTCCTAGGAATGTGGGACAGCCAGCACCAAAATAGTGAGATCTCCATCCCAGGGACAGGACCCTGGTCACCTGAAGGAGTGACCTTTCTGACTTTTATAAAAATTCTTTCTGGAGTCTCTTCTACAACCTGTCATTTGACGAGTGGCATTTATATAGTTTAGTGGCTACTCACACAGGCTTTGGAGTTGGGCCTAGATTCAGACCTCATTCCTGCCATTTACTAGCTATGTAACCTTAAGTACTTAGTCTCTTTGAACTTGAGTTTTCTCATCCATAAAATGAAAACAGTATCTATCATGTAAGATACCACATCGAGGATGAAATGAAATTGTGTATATAATCTGACACACATAAATACCCCCAAAATGGTAGTCATTGTTGTTTGAGTCAGGACGGCACAGGTACGTGAATAAGCACTCCCGTGTCGTGTCCTGTCCTAGGGATGCCTGATCACTGCCACTCTGCCAGCCTCACTGTCACCTGCACTCTTGAATCTTACCTCTACATACCTCCTGTGCTGAGATAACTGATAGGTTTAGTAAGACAGAGGCCCTGCAAGATCCTAAATTATTGACCAAAAAAATGAAATGCTGTGTCTGTGAAATTTTATCTGCTCTACAATGAATTGCATTTATATTCCTCAAAATGCAAGTTCCTACATCAACTCCGGTGATGCTTTTATTGTCAGAGTATGACACTGCACAGCCTTTCCTATTTCCCTCACCTCTTCAACAGCCTGCCCTGAGGGTATGCTCTGGCAGTCAGTCCCTGGGACCTGGGCTCTTGGGCTGTCTCTGCTGAGCAACCCCTCATTGGAAGAGCGCCTGTAAGTCTCCAGGCTTTTCTTTCCCCACCCCAAGGCCGAGGCCTGCAAGTCCATTGAGTATGCGATGAAGAAGTGTCCTAACGGCATGTTCTCTGAGATCAAGTATGATGGGGAGCGAGTCCAGGTGCATAAGAACGGGAACCACTTCAGCTATTTCAGCCGCAGTCTCAAGCCCGTCCTGCCTCACAAGGTATAGGTCCTTTCCTTTCTGCTGGGACTGTCTTTTCTTTCCTGCCTCTAAGAATCTCAGGGTCAGAGTTCCATAACCATTCCAGCTCTGGTACACAATAGGGTTTGTTTTGTATTTGTTGAATGGATGAATGAATTCATTTATTCATTTTTGGAGTCTTCTAATAATGAGGGGCTGCTCAGTAGGGACAGCCCAAGAGCCCAGGCTTGGGTTAATCAGCACGGAGCCCCAAGGACAGGGAAGCATCACTGGTGAGTGACCTACAGTGCTTGTCTTTTGCGTTTCCATGTCCTGTGTGCCCCCCCCGAGCTAAATTACGACTCATGTACAAAGGACTGTTGAGCTGTCAGTCATGAATTTGTTCAACAGATATTTATCAAGTGCATAGTCTGACAAGCGGTGCATAGTCTGTACTAGGCACTGTTCTAGGTAGTGGACATACAGCAGTAAAAAAATGGACAAAAATTCTGGCCCTCTGGAAGCCTACATTCTGATGTAAACAAAATCCCATGGAGACATCTGGGAACCCAGACTCCTGCCCTTAATCAGGGAGCATTGAGAACCTCAGTCCTAAGCCCTTCTCAGCTCCCAGGGCCTCTGAGCCTTTAGGGGTGTCTTTAGGGAAAAGCAGCTGGAACATCTGGCTCCAGTAGCTTGTGAGGAGATAGACTTCCTGTCCTTGCTACCCCTTCTTTCCTAGCTCAGACTCCATTTTTCAGAGCCCCAGGGGCAAAGGGGATGTGTTATATGGCTCACATGCTTACCTCAGCCTTGCCTTCCTGCTGGAGCGCCGAGCAGTCAGGCCATTTGTTTCAGGTGTTCCAGAGAACTAAGCAGTGGCCTGCCCGTGGAGCGTTGGTGCAGGCTCACTTGCTCTGTGGGGCATAGTGACACTGCCGAGGGACCTCTCCTGTCACCCAGGAAGAAGTGTGAGCACAGCTGTCCAGAACTAGAGCCCTTTCCCTGCTCTCCCTTACCCAAGTTTCATCCATCCCTGGGCTCCCCTGTGCTTTTGGTTCGGTGGAGTGGGATGGATGTGCAGGCCTTTCCTGTCCCGCTTCAAGCTTCATAGGTAATGATGGCCTGTGTGCCCTGCCCAGGGGAGGACTTGGACCACAGTCATGCTCTCTGGACCTCATTGCTGGCGTCACTTGACGGGGGCTACCATGGGTTACAGTGGGACTTCTCCCTATCTGAAACTGTCAGAGACTAGGGCTCTGCCTTTTTCAGGAAAACAATCCAATTCCAAACCTCTTTTCTTACTCATTCTGAAGATGACTGTGAGTTCAGAGCTCCCACTCAGAGAAGACGCTCCTCGTGTTTCCTTGCTGCTCCTGAGTGGGTTCATTTTTTCCTTTCCATTTTTTATACCACCAGTCTGTGCTCCCCCACAAATCTCTGCCTGCCTGCCTTTTCTCCCTCCCTTCCATGTTTGTCTACCCCACCTCTTCCCCCACATTCTCTCTGTTTCTTCCTTTTTCTTCCAAACTCTCCTTCTCTGCAGCCCATATAAGGTGACTCAGCATGGGCCGACCTCTTCCTGGGTCCGGACAGAGGTCCTGAAACATACCCTATTCCTCTTGTCTCGGTAGCTGACAAGGTCTATGTTTTGCACATTAGCTGGGCTTCCACATGTTGGTGTTCTCTGTGCCTTCTGGGGCCTGGGTTTTGCTTTCCGTGGCCCTGCTTTAAGTTTCTCCTCCCTCACCTAAGTGACCCTTCTGCCTCCAGGTGGCCCACTTTAAGGACCACATCCCCCAGGCTTTCCCTGGAGGCCACAGCATGATCTTGGACTCTGAGGTGCTCCTGATTGACAACAAGACAGGCAAACCACTGCCCTTTGGGACTCTGGGAGTGCACAAGGTACTGGCTCAGGGCCAAATGTGCAAGAAAGAGTATGCTGTGTGCATGTATGTGTATGTGCTATTGGTCTGAATGGGGAGGACTATATCTGGTACTTAGGGTTGGGCTTCTTCTTCGTTTCTAAACTGTTTCTGAATTTAGCCCTGAGTTTAGATGTGTTTTGTTTTTGTTTTCTTGCACTAAAAGGAGCTGGTATTGGGAACTTATAATTGGGTTGGTTTCCATTCAGGACCATCTGCTCAGTGCCGTATGGCCCACGGGCTTCAAAGCACAAATAGGACTTTTCTGTCAGGTGCTTCAGAGGGTCTCCAGAGGTAGACTGGTAATCCCCATTTTTCACGCCCACTTATTTTTGTCCCTCATGTACCTACTACCTCATTTTCCCTTACAGAAAGCTGCCTTCCAGGATGCTAATGTCTGCCTGTTTGTTTTTGATTGTATCTACTTCAATGATGTCAGCTTGATGGACAGGTGAGGAATCTATTTTCGGTTCCTGGGTGGGGAGGTGGAGGGTTCAGATTGGAAAGGAGGGAGGGGAAGGGGCTGGAGCATATGCCTCTTTGTGCCCAGGAGCTGGGCAGCGGCAGGAGGAAGCTGAGAGGTAGCATACTTGCCATGCGGTCAACTCCCCATTCAGTGTTAAAAAGAGGCGATGTGTGGACTAGATCTCATCTCTGAGAGCCTGAGTCACAGAGGAAACCCAAACCCCCAGGGAAGTTTCTCTGCTACAGCAAAAAGGACTGTTGACAAGAAATAGACTGTGAGCAAAGTAAGGTTTCAGTTTATTTCTCCAACAGTACCCACAGGGACACACAGGCAGATGGTTTTCAGCTTAGAGGTTTTGCTTTCAGAAGAGGCCGACAACAGGAAACTCATGATTGTAGGGGAACTGTGGGTGGGACCGTTTTAGGGAGAACTAGCAGGCTTGACTTAGCTGCATCCAAATTCTTGGGCCCGAGAAACCAGTATTGGCCCCTCCACACTTAGAAATGTATCCCTGCCCCCATCCCTCCCACACTGGCCCTCATCCTTGAGTGTGGAAGGGGAAGGAAATAGAAGGGAGAAAAAATTGTTGTGGGTAGGAGTTGGGATTTGGGCTTCAGGTCCTGAAGCGTGTCAGCCTGCTGACCCAAGAACCAGCCAACCTTGGGCCTGGGGTGAGGCAGGGTGCAGGGGATAAAAAAGAGAGTCAGAGTCGTTTTTCAAGTGGGACCAGAATTTATACAATCTGGTTGGGCCAGAGGCCAGTTCTTCCATGGCTCAATGAAGTAGAAACAGGAAGTACAATGATGACATAGCTCTAGACCACAGCTCACAATTGTCCATCCGTGGTCACGATGGAGCCCTTGACAGGCAGAACTGTTAGACACGAGAGCTTTAAACCATGGCAAACACTCTCATGAAGCAGCAGTTTATCATTGTGTCTCTTCCCTCCTCAGAACTTCTAATGGGGCTGGGAAGATCCTGGCCTGACCTCAGCTCTCCTGTCCTGTCCCCCGTAGGCCTCTGTGTGAGCGGCGGAAGTTTCTTCATGATAACATGGTTGAAATTCCCAACCGGATCATGTTCTCAGAAATGAAGCGAGTCATGGTGAGCAAAGACCCCACCATGCTAGGCAGCATCCTAGTGGTCTGAAAGCAGGGTAGAGAATCCCTTGGGTCAGGTGTGACTGGGAGAATGAGTCTTAATTATTTTCTCATGGGGGCTGCAGGTGTGATGTTGTCTACTAGTCTCTACCTAGAAGGGCAGGGCATGAGACAGCTTCCTAGGTGGACTCCCTGTGTCTGAAAGCCACAGCAGCTCTCTGGTTGGGAAGGTCCCTGTTTTGCAAGCCTGTTGTTCCTTATATTCAGGTGGGCACTTTACTAGTGTGCCAAAAGGAACAACCTACACCTCACTCCCACAGCACCCTCTCTATTCTCACACCAACCTCAACATCTCTCGTTATCCCTCAGAAAGCTTCAGACTTGGCCGACATGATCAACCGGGTGATCCGAGAGGGCTTGGAAGGGCTGGTGCTGAAGGACGTGAAGGTAAAACAGTCACATCCTTTGCTTTCTCCTGTAGACTCTAAGCTGTTCCCCTGAGCCTTTCCAGCCCTGGCCAGGAGATGGCGGTGGCGGTCTAAGGTGGTTGTGGGTGGGTGCAGAGGGGTGCCTCTCCAGGGTTTGGACAGGTCTGTTCTGGATCAGAAGATAGGTTTGTGTATGTCTCCTTAGTGCCTGGAGTCTAAGGGCTCTTCCCCAGAGCGGGCTGGGCACTGTGACAGATCCGATACGTTATGCTAAGAGATAAATCCCATCCTCATGGAGTTTTCATTCTAGTTCGTGGTCTCTCTCGTTTCCCCTTAGGGTACATATGAGCCTGGAAAGCGGCATTGGCTGAAAGTGAAGAAAGACTATTTGAACGAGGGGGCCATGGCTGACACAGCTGACCTGGTGGTCCTTGGGGCCTTCTATGGGCAAGGGAGCAAAGGTCAGGGTGACGTCTGGCCCCTGGGATGGTATTTCTTTGAGAAGTTCCACTCGGGGTACAGACTGGGCTTTTTATTGGCTTGATCTGCCAGCATGGCCAGTATGGCTTCCAAAGTTCTGGGTTCTGGGGCCCCAGCTGGCCCATGTCATCTCAGGCAGGGACATCTGAGAGCTACAGACTTGGGCAGGGGAGAGGTCAGGCAAGAATACCCTGTACTAGCCTGGCACAAAGAAGTTCACCTCCAACTGTTTCTTCAGGGCCTGGCAGCTTTTTTCTTAGGGAAAATCAGAATTTTCTGACTGGAGGGGAAGTTGGGTTCTGAGGAACCAGTACTTTTGGGCAGTCTGCTATGCCAGGCACTATTCAATTCCTTTTACTACTCACCAGAGCCCAAGTTTATGTGTGATTATCCGTAATTTACTGAAGAGGAAATTGTTATACAGCTAGTAAGAGGTAGATCCAAGAGGTGGACTCTGGCACTTTGATGCCAAGGCCCAGGCCCTTTCCTCTCCAGCAGGCTGCCTCTCACTGGGCACGTGGGGCTCGCAGACTTGGCTCCCTCCACCCACAACTTAGCCCATCCCCCCTCCCAGGTGGCATGATGTCCATCTTCCTCATGGGCTGCTATGACCCAAGCAGCCAGAAGTGGTGCACAGTCACCAAGTGTTCAGGAGGCCATGATGACGCGACACTTGCCCGCCTGCAGAAGGAACTGGACATGGTGAAGATCAGCAAGGTGAGGAAGGGTCCTAGTTGGCCCTGGCCTCTGGACTGGCCATCATTACTGAGACACGCAGCACTTGGGACTGCAGGTATCATTTATCTGTCTCCACAGAAAGGAGAGCTGCTGCTTGGCCATGGGAGTACTATTAGGCCTTCAAAGTCTCTGAGTACCTACCTTGTGGAAACTGGCCTGCGTGCCCTCTAGGCCACACCCTCTCTGCGCAGGGAGGCTCCCATTGCGTTAGGCTGCCTTTTGTGATAAGTCATCTCTTGTCACAAGCCCATGACCAAGAGGGGGTCTAAGTCTTGTTTTGGCTTGGAAACAGCCCAGGACAACATCTTTTCTCCTCCAGGATCCCAGCAAGATACCCAGCTGGCTGAAAATCAATAAGATCTACTATCCTGACTTCATCGTCCCAGACCCAAAGGTATCAGCCCGGTGGCCTGGGGTCCTCCAGCCCACAGAATGAGCTTGTGAATTCTCTAGTGACACAGAGATGTCAACTCAGCCTCACTGACAGTCCACTCAGGCATGGGGATCTGGACTGTTCAACCAAGTGACAGGCACAGGGACGGCCAGTCAACACTGAGGAATCATCCTCAATAGTGAGAGGAAGAGATTACCCATCCCCTAGTCACAGAAGGTCTGCTCTAGAAGTGACCAAGAAGGCCTAATCCCCTCTTGGACTGACAAGAAAAATGGAGGCCCAGAGAAGAGACGGGACTTCCCTAAGGTCACATAGCATCAGCAGCCACAGTGGGACTAGAACCCATCTCCCACCTGTTAGCCAGTGCTTTTTTGGTTTTAAGTGTTCTGTATTGCCTCTAACTGGTTGGGAGATGTTTTCTTCTCAACCAGTAAGTGACCTGACTTACTCCTGACAGAAAGCTGCCGTGTGGGAGATCACAGGGGCTGAATTCTCCAAATCCGAGGCTCACACTGCCGATGGGATCTCCATCCGATTCCCGCGCTGCACCCGAATCCGTGAAGATAAGGACTGGAAATCTGCCACTAACCTCCCCCAACTCAAGGTGCCAGCTCTTAGGCAGCATGTGTGTCCTCTATCCCACTGTCCCAGCCTTGGAACCTTGGGCCTCTGGCCTTTTCTCATGTCCTGTGTCTTCTCCTTCCTCCCATTCCGCTGAGACAGGGCAAAGCAGGCAGTCAGAAAGGGAGACCAAGCTGTTGGCGGGCCAGGCACTAGGCCTCTGCCCACATCTCCAAGTAGGGAACCCTGCCTTCATCAGCCCGCTGGGCAGCCCCGGGTCCTGCTGAGGACTTGGCCCCAGGCTACAGTCTCTGTGTTGCTGATAAGAACTGGGGAACAGAAGAGTGATTTGCACCAATTACTCAAGAAATAGGGCTGAAGTTTATTTAGAAAAGCACCAAGGAAGCCAGCTTCTTTTCCCTGCTATTTATCTTTCTCCCCTTTGTTCCCCAGGGCCACATGTGCCTGAAACATTCCACACAGAGCATCTCTGAGGCCAGTGGCTGGGATGATACCACCTGACCTTCTCCCCCCCCCTCCTCAGGAACTGTACCAACTGTCCAAGGAGAGGGCTGACTTCACTGTAGTGGCTGGAGATGAGGGGAGCTCCACTATAGGGGGCAGCAATGGAGAGAATGAGGGCACCTCGGGGCCTGCTGTGTCTTGCAAGGCCCCCCGAGCGGCCCCTAAGCAGCCGTCCACCAGTGCCAAGAAGGCAGGAGGGAAGCTGAGTAGCCCCAACAGCAAAGGCGGTAAGGAGAAGGGAGGGGGCTGGGGTGATGAAGAGGGTGGTGTGAGGGCAGAGATGGAAGGACAGGGACCCATTCTCCGATTCCAGCTCTGAGCTCATGTGATTCTGTCCACCGCAGCTGACAGTGACTGCATTCCTGTTGCATGTCCAGCCATGGAACAGAAGCTGTTCTGGGCACTCTCCATCTGCTCAGTAAACGACAGGACCTGGGATAGCCACTCTGTTCCAGGGATAAGCCACCTCTGAGCTCAGGGCTTAGCTTACACCTCTTCCCTCCCATCTCACCCATGCTCATAGCAGAGGAAGGGCCTGGCCCTTTGCTGCCCTGACTTCAGGGACCGTTAGCAGCTCCCCTTACCCTCTTCTTAGTTTTTATCCTGAGCTCTCTCCTGCAGGCAGCAAGCTGACTGCAAAGCCATCCCCTGTGAAAGTGGGAGAGAAGCTGGTTACAGAGTCTTCTCCCGTGAAAACGGGGGAGAAGCGGAAGGCTCCCGATGAGACCCCATGCCAAACAAAGGTGAGGGTAAGAATGGCAGTGCCCCAGGGGGCCACTTTGGGCCTCACATTCCCAAACCTCTGCACGTGAACTTTGAGAGATGAAGCAAGGTGTTTTTGGGACTAATGGCCAAACCCCCTCCCCGCCTGCAGCTGCTCCTCTGTCCTGGGCAGGGCCAGCAGTGCCGCTGCTCCATCCGGTGCCTTCTTGTTGCCTTGCAGAGGCGGCTGGCCAGTGAGCAGAGAGGAAGGAGAGCTGTGCCAGCAGGCAGGCGATAGAACAGCCCAGCTAGCCTCTTGGCTAGCCAAGAGGCTGCAGGGACCCACCCGGCTGTTGGTCCCAAGTCACAAATTACATTAAAGGGGAGAAAGCCCGATCTGGGTGTGGGAGTGCAGCAGTGTGAGTTTATGCACAGGGCGGGGCAGGGCCAGCCAGCCAGGATGGGGAGAGGGCACTGGCTTGGTGACTGTCCTCCCACCTAAGGAACGTTTTCCCTTTGTACTCCTTTGTCACTCTTTGGTTTGACAACAGCTATCGAGCACTTACTGAGGCTAGTAACTGGGCTCAACCCTGGGGGGAGCTGATGACCCAAAGGGCAGATAGACAAACATTTGATCACTATACCATGTGACTGCACCACCCCACACCCCACCCCCAGCCAAGAGTAAGCCCAGAAGTCTGGCAACTCAAACCCTGAACCCAGTCCCCAGCAGACCTGTAGAACCCTACCCATCTTTTCCCTAAAGCCCTTGAATTCATCCACAGTAATGAGCAGGGCTCTTGGCTCCCCAAGTCTAGCTCCTTGTGCAGGTAGACTGCTTGATCCAGCAACGTCACTGAATCTGAGAGCCACTGGCCCTGCCTGCCAGCCACTGGATGATCCTTAGAGACACATACTTTTCCCTTCTCCAGGTCCCTGATGTCAGGACCCATCTGTGCTCCCTCCTTTTCCTCTAGGCAGGGATGGAGGGATGTCAGTGCTGCGTAATCTGGAGTGCTTGGAGGAAGAGGGTTTTGATGCCTGTGCCTTTTCTCCAGTAAACTCTGCTTGTGTCCTGACCATTAGGCTCTCTGTCTCCGGCTCTTGTTCTAACCTCCATACCCTCTGGCCTGTGCTCATCTGGGTGGAGACCCATCTCCCCCAGCACAGGTCCGGCCCTACTTGTGACCCCTGTGCATTTGCAGGTGCTGCTGGACATCTTCACTGGGGTGCGGCTCTACCTGCCGCCCTCCACACCAGACTTCAGCCGTCTCAGACGCTACTTTGTGGCATTTGATGGGGACCTGGTGCAGGAATTTGACATGGCTTCAGCCACACATGTGCTGGGTAGCAGGGACAAGAACCCTGAGGCCCAGCAGGTCTCCCCGGAGTGGATTTGGGCATGTATCCGGAAACGGAGACTGGTAGCTCCCTGCTAGGATTGCCACCTTCCCTCTCCCTCATGCCGTACTCTTTCCTACCACACTGCTGTATTGGGCTCTGGCTGGGACAGGCAGGCGAGGGGCAGAACAGGGTGGGGATGGGCTTTCTTCTCCAAGCAGTGCATCTTCCCAAACCCACCAGCCGTGCATGGTCTCTTCCCGACCAGGAGTTAGTTGCAGTGGGTGCCACCAATCAAGTCACTTTCTCCTGCTGGTTTCCATAGATCTTTCAGATCTGGGTGCTGGTTTTTCCGTCTTTAAAAAGCTTTTTTTTTTTAATAAATATCTTGCAGTTATCTCTGTCCTTTCCCCCCAACACCTCCGAAAATTTCCCTAGCAATTAAGCAGAGAAATCTTGGCTGTTGAACTGTCCATAAAGCCATTCCTGATGGCAATCTCCTCTCCCTCCTTGCCTGCCCCTTTTGCTTCCAGGCTCATTTTAAAGTTGTATTTAAAAGACTGCTCTCAGAAATGCCTCTTATAGTTGGCAAAACTTGTATTCAGCCTGGCCTGTTTTGCCAGGAATGAAGCCTCATTTGAAAGAAGAAAAAATTAATTTTATGACTTAATTCTCCATGTTCTTCTCCTATTACAGAGTGTGGGTCCCAGTTTAAAGGGAGGGAACCAGGATCAGGTAGGAAAATGGGGCCTCTATGAAGAAAAGGGAGGTCGTTTGGGCTATTTCTCTGTGGGATACAGGGCTCCAGGAGGCTCTGCCTCCCCAAAATCGGAAAAAAGACTGCTCTTTAAGAGAAAAACCCGCCTGAGAACAAATCTATACAATCTGCTTACAAAGAACAGCTCCTGTGCCACCGAGGCTGATCTATTTAAATAAAAGGAAAACAATTTAGTATAGACGAGTGCTTATTCCATAGAACTTTCTGCGGCAATGGAAATATCCTGTAAATCCTCAGTGGCTGCTTTGAACTAGCCACATTCAGCTGTTGAGCACTTGAAATGTGTCTAACACAACGGAGGAACTGAAGTTTTCGTTTTAATTCAACTTTAAATGGTCACATGTGGCTAGTGACTACCACATTGGACAGTGTGGGTGTAGACAGACCTGGTTCAAATCTGAGCCCTGAAACTTAAGAGCTGTAACCTTAGCAAGTTGTTTAACATCTGAGCTTCCATTCTTCCAAGAGGAATGGGGATAGGAATTGCACCTGAATCACAGGGTTGCTGTAAAGAGTAAATGAACTCAAGATACCTTCTATGAAGCACTTAGCACAGAGCTGGCACAGAGTTATCTAGAGTTGGGAAAATCAACATTGGCATGCATGGCCAGACCCTACCCAGGAGGAGGGCGCCCTGGCTTCTAATTTCAGAACTCTGTCAGACCCCTTCCACAGCCTCACGTCTGCACGTTACAGCTTACGTTGTGGGCTGAGAGCACACCTGTCAGGTTGCCATCTGGTTCTAGACTGGCTTCCGTGTTCTTAGTTCTGCTGACTCCTGAGGGTCAGTTCTCTTTTTTTCTTATTCACAAATCAGCAGGCTTGTCCTTCCTCTGTGAGTTAGGTTAATGCGATTCAGCCTCTGGAACATACTTGAATGGGCCTATAAGATTGAGGACCACTACCTCCCCCAGCCCTCCTCCAGGGTGCTCAACTAAGGTAATACTCTGCTGGGAGGCTGCTTGGCAGTCAGCTTGGAGGCCAACTTGAACCTCACTGAACTGACTTTCCACCTGCTGGATAAAATGTGTTGGGAGGAAGGTGCAGGAGGGGGAAGTACTGCCCTGACTAGCCCAGGACATTGGGTGTTTTCAGATAGGCACCATTCAGTCTGGCTTCAGTATCAAGAATAAGACACTCTTTTTATTCTGTGTTCTGTGGAGACAAAAGCTGCTGCTCCTCTGAGCACTGACCTACATAAATTTTCATCCCTGTCTCCAGCCTCCCCAGGCCAAGCAACTGGACAGGGCGGCAGAACAAGGCTCTCCCCTTGGGATTCTGCCACTGACACTGCCCTTGGGCCCAGCTGATCTAGACTCAGCCCCACCGGCCTTTACTGGCCGCTTACACTCAGGGTGCACCCTCACAGCAAAGCGGCCCTGCCAGCTGCAGGGCATCATCTCAGTAACGAGCTTGGCCCTTTGGCCCTTCCCTGTCTTGCTGGGTGTCATCTCCAATTCACTGTTGAAGGTGTTTTGTCTGTTTCCTTCCAGTCTTTCTGACCCACGGTTTTCTGTGCAGCTGAGATTATACTGTATATACGGTTTTGTATCCTTGCATGTATTTCCACAGACCCTAAGCAACATCATCTTAAACCTCCCCAGAATGTTGGAGGCCCTCCTTTGGGTCTTTGTTTACATGCTGCTGGTTGGCAGCAGACAAGAGGTCATCCTGGGCACTCAATGGGTCAGCCACCCTGAACAATGAGGACAAAGTGCTGTGGCTCAGCCTCGAGCCTTTACGCACTTTAGGCAAGATTCCTTCCTCTTCTCAGTCACAGGCAGATCTGCACATAACCTAGTTTTCCCAAAGGCTGCCTTCTCGGGAGCCCCCTCCCCTGGGCACCTGGTCAGAAAGGTATATACAGGCCTGTGCACACACAGCAGTCTGCCCATGAGGATGGGCCAACCTCTGAGCCATACTCCAGCTACCACAGCTGTATCCAAAAGCTACCATCCATCTCCCAGGGTCACCCAAAGACTTAACTGGGCACACTGGCTGTCCTCAGATCCCTCTCTACCCACATCCTTAAGGCCCATCTCTACCAAATCAGCATCAATGTCTGAACTCACTTGGTACTTCTTCCTATTTGGTCATAGGATTGGTCCTTTTTCTACCCAGCTCCCATCCTCTTCTAGGCAGTTCCATACTAGTTGTGAGATCTTGAACACGTCACTCCACCACCAAGCTTCAGGTTCTTTGTCTGTTGAACAGGGATATCTTGATCAAGGCCACAGAGCCCAAGCATGTTCAAAAAGAATGCAGTCTTGAGCAGGCCTGTGTGCTCATGGCCTGGGATTAGCCTGTGGTTTATCACCTCCTTAACTATCAGACCTCTGGCATGCTCACACCAGATCGGACAGGCATCTATATTGAAACTTTATTACAAAATTATAAAGCAGAGCTCTGTAACAAAAAATACACATTTGGGTTTGCTTTAACACCCAAGTAAGTCTGAAAGAATCTTAATATAAGCCACATGAAGTAACACATTCACATCCAAAAGATTTCAACAAATTTATACAATATATATTGAGCACTGATTTCTGTACAGTTTATTCTTATTAGTTTGCATCCAACTAGTCCAATGTATTCTAAACCAGTCAGCTCCCCAAGTCTTTGAAAACAAGTCTCAACTGAAATCTCAGAACAATCACAGCAAGAGCCATGGAATAATTGGAAGAATTAGATGTTTCCATGATAATTAAGACCAAGGATCCAGGAGGGGCGGGAGGGAGCAGTCAAGGATAAAAATCACGTTTTCTATAAGGTTAGATAGTAATTGAAATGGAATTTTGGAATTCTCAACTTTTATTTGGTGTAATAATAAAGAAAATACAAAAAAAAAATGAGGGTTGTTTGACACCTTTTTTCCTAAATGGAAACCTTCACCAAAAGAGGTTAGAAGACCTAAGGGCAAGTTCTTTCTCTAAAATGAGTAAATGACATCAGTTCTAATTCTTACTGACGTTACTAACCAACCATCAGGATGTTATTTTTTAACTTATGTCTAGGAGAGAAATTGGGAGATAGGGAGAGGTAAGGCCTCAACAGAGAAAGCAAGTTTTAAGTAGGGAGAGAGCCAGCTTCTGCCGTGAAGTTACTGTTAGATCTTAACTGAGTTGCATATATATAGACCTGCCTCACAGTGGAATCAAGGAGTAGCTGAATCCTTTGCAAACTGGCAGGCATTGTAAACTATAGTATTTACTGTCCAGCAGAAAGGTGAAACATGATGTCTTCACAGGGAAATCTCGTTTTCCCCAATTCCTACAAAGGCTGTGGCCCAGAATCAAATCATCCAGGACTTGGTATAATGTCGAGGTAAGTGGCCCAGTGTTCAGCTGACGACTACTTTATGAAATTATTCCATTCTCCTAAAGGGGATTAGTGGTTCATAATGGAGGGAAAGCATAAGTATGTCTGTACCAATAAATAGGTCCCCTTAGAGGTTTCCTACTGGTTTCCAAAGTCATGATTGGTTCTTCTAGTCTGAGATCTTGGCGGGTGGGGGGGGTGGGGGGGGTGGAACTCTGCCAAGGCCCTCAGGTGTTTAGGGTTTGCATAGTTCATCTATTTTGGTAATGGCAGCACACACAGCTCTTCTGATAGCCATGTATGTTTGTGCTTGGCTAAGCTTCTCCAGCAAACCTTTAAGCCCTTTGGCTCTTCCAGTGGTGTAAAGACCCTAAGAGGGGTCAAGAATGTCACCTACTCATTGTATGGTCCTTGCTAAAGGGCCTAGAGAATGCTCCTTCCTGACGTGCCCCCAAATCAGCAGGCTGAGAAAGGAAATGGGAGTAGGGAGTCCCCACCAACCTGGGAAATTAAGACTTCCAGCTGTCTGCTCAAGAGCTGAATGTAGCCTCATTCAGTACCTTCTAATACCTCTTAGCTACTCTGTCTTACGTGTTTGGTCCCCAGGAACTTCATGAGAAGTCTGGCTACAGAAGAGCAAGGCTCTTTGCCTAAGTCTCTATAGCTTCAGTGAGACCATGTTTAAAACTTCTGTGGAAAAGAGAGGGACTTCATTCTCAGGGGAGAGTGGTTTAAGACTTCTGTCTGTTGGAGAAGTCAAAGTTAAACAGAAAGCACTGCTTCCACCCAACACTTTCCCTTTTTCTCATAAACTAAAATCAATGATGGCACAAGTGAGGCCCCAAAAGCAGCAGCAGAGATGCTCCATGCACCATGTCTCACACACAGAGACCGGAGTTTCCCAGCAGTCTGGGACCAGACGCTTCTCTTGGCTCCCAAGGTCAGGTCAGGAAACTGATAGCTTCTAATCCCAGCACTTAAGGAAGCAACTCTTAACGACTTTGAAATTTTTCAATAGCATTTGTGCTTCACTTCTTACCAGAGAGAGGCTTACTGGTCCAAATTCTGTCCTAAGGAGGATCACTATTGGTCTCGTAAGCTAACATCTTTTTGGTCTGAAGAAACAAACGGATTTTAGGCAATGTAGCAAGACACTTGAGCAAAGGGAGGTTAAAGCACAGGAAGCCAGAGAGACCAGAAATAAATCCAGATGTGCTGGGGAGGATGGGGAGGAAGAGAACCATTTCTATCAGGCCTTCTGATAGGTGAAACAGAGGCAAGCAGCTCGGGGGGTAGGTGGGGTACAGGAGGAAGGCTGAAACTGTGTTCAGGTTCTCAGAGTAAGAAAGATACGGTCCAAATTCTGGAAAGTCCTCTCTTCATCAATTACCATCATCACCCCAAGATCATTGAAACAGACTTGCCCATGCAATCTGTACCACTTCCCACTGGCCCCGGGCTCTGTCAGCCAAGAGGTGCATCTCTATGGCAAGACCGGTATGCCCAGAGGTGACACAGCATCTTTGTTTGCTCTGGTCTTGGGAACACTGCAAATTTTCTTGTTAGCCTGCCCCTCTGCAAGCTGGCCAACCCTGAGCCCAGACACCTTGAGCTATGTCCCTATAAGGCACTGAAGAAGCCGGTACAAGCCCTCAGGATCGGAAGACATGCACGGCTCGTATCACGTACTGCCGGCAGATGGGACACTCATTCATGCGCTTGCCACACTTGGTACAGGTTACCATGTGGCCACACTCCAGCAGAACACAGTCAATGGGCGAGTCCATGCAGATCCTACACAGGTTCTCCTCCAGGCTGGATGGCACTGCTCCGCCTGTACAAACACAGGGCAGAAAAGGGGCAGAGGGGAAAGTAAAGAGATTGTCTAAGCGTATGGGGCAGTGGGGGGAATGGTGAGGGAGAGAACAGACACACTGGGAGCAAACCCCTAAATCCACACACTTCCCTCAAATAGAGCTCCAAGAAAACATTTCCCCAGTAACCAATTCCAGGTGCTTATTGAATCCACACCTCTATAGGTCAGGCTAGGGCCAGCCCCGTGGCTTAGCAGTTAAGTGCGCGCACTCCGCTGCTGGCGGCCCAGGTTCAGATCCCGGGCGCGCACCGACGCACCGCTTCTCCGGCCACGCTGAGGCCGAGTCCCACATACAGCAACTGGAAGGATGTGCAGCTATGACATACAACTATCTACTGGGGCTTTGGGGGGAAATAAATAAATAAATAAATAAAAATCTATAGGTCAGGCTATAGATCTGAGGAGTAGAGTACTTGTAGACGAAGTACATCCCAGAACATGAGAACTAAATAAGGCAAAGTCCTCAAAGCTTAAAAGAAATAATTTTCAGACAATGAGGCTGTAATATACTGAGTGAGTGGCACTTAGGGACTTACTATCCCCTGAGGCAGAACACGCTGAAAAGATAAAACTGGTTCAGAAAAGTTTAGATATAAAAGGAGCTGTAATGAATGGTTCATTAAGGACCACAAGGCTTATCTGTAAACATATCCCCAATTTAATAAAGCCAAGGATCGTGGGGGCCCCTGTGCTATCCCACAAACTAAGCCCAGGCTTCCTCTGAGGAGACTTCCTGGTAGAGCGCAGCAGAGACTACAGCGCCCTCTTCTGTGCTACCCCCCCCCACATAACTTGACTCATACTCCCATGACTGCGTATCACACTCCATTAGAATTTTTGAGTTTGCCTACTTACCTCCCCCAATACCTTATGAGCTGCTCAATTCAACAAATTCAATTTCTACAATTATATACTTAGCATTTGCTATGTGCTCTGAGGTCAGATATTCATCTTTGAATCCCTAAAATACCAGTCATGTGGAAGGTGTTCTCTAAATGTCTGATAAATGAACGTCTCCCAGGGGAATGATAACAGCTCATATTTACTGAATGCGTACAGGTGCCAGGCAGGGTCCTAAGAGCTTTGCATGTTTTAACTCATTGAATCTTCACAAAAACTATGAAGTAGGGACTCTTTGTTACTCATTTCATAGATGAGGCAACTGAGGCCAAAGAATTAAGTGGCTTGCCCAAGGGCACACAACTGCTAAGGAGAGGAGCCAGGATTCAAATGTGCCCAGAGGGCCTTCTGGGCATGTGGCCTGAGGGCAGGGACTATCATGATAGACTTAACTGGGCAGTGCGCAGAGTTCTCAATAACAGCTAACTGGCTTGGACGAGCGGTGAGATACACTGGGCATGGCCAGTAACCTCCTAGTTTACCTGCACAAACAAGAAAAGCCTTCATGTCCAAAACCCCGGCCATCCCCAGCGTGTTTTAAATGGTAGCCTGAACCAGGTAGTCATAAATAGAGCTGAAAGGTACCTGTGAAAGGTAGTGAAACCTATTTACCCCTTTGAGGAGCTGTTGGCGGTACAGGGAAGGTTTGCAAAGGACTAAACTATACAAATACCTGAGGTGAGCTGGAATACTTTATAGAATTTCATTACTATTTCTCTCAGGAATCACAACAGATTCATCAACTCAGTTGCCAGCATTCTCCCAGGGAATCAGAAAAAGAAAGGAAGACACGAAGTGGATTAGCCTGATCGTGGTATCAGGTAAGGGAGTGGGTCCGAACTCCAAATGGTTTTGGGGAACTGAGAAGAGCTCAGCTCTGGGGCCGGGCCGGTGGTGTAGTGGTTAAGTCTGCATGCTCCGCTTCAGCGGCCTGTGGTTTGAGGGTTCGGATCCTGGGTGCAGTCCTACACACTGCTTATCAAGCCATGCTGTGCTGGTGTCCCACATACAAAATAGAGGAAGACTGGCACAGATGTTGGCTCAGGGACAATCTTCCTCAAGCAAAAAGAGGAAGGTCGGCAACAGATGTTAGCTCAGGGACAATCTTCCTCACCAAAAAAAAAAAAAAAGAGCTCAGCTCTTGAGAATTTATCAGCCAGAAGACTCTGCCCCATTCTGGGCAAAAGGCTATTTTACTAAACAACAAATGTGGAGAGTCTTCTGAAAAAGTTTTAAAATGCTTTGCAGGCCGCTAGAGTACTCTGAGAACATTCTCTCTTGGGGAAGAGCTCACAACCTTATAGCCTTGAGGCTTTCAAAAAGGTATAGCATATGTTAGAATGATGCCCAGATCCAGATTCCTGCAGTGTGTTCTGAGGGTACCAGAAGGGCAGTGGTGGTCTTTAACACACAGGTGGGTGTGTGGCAGCTGAGGTGGGATATGCATCTTGTGCCCAGAGAGCACCCTATGTGACACCTTTCCTAATCTGTCCCCAGAGCAGCTCTAACCACTGCCTTGCCCTGTACAAACAAAGCTCTCTCAGGTCATCACCCTCTCTTTTTGGTTGGTACCAGAAGCTGTTAAATATCCCAAGTGATTTCCCTGAAGGTGCACCCAGACACCCCCACTTGCCACCCCACTCACACCAGAACTGAGTGAAAACTGTAGAAGGGGTGCCTTAGCACCAGGAGCATGAGAAATGAACCGAATGTGACACATGCCACCATGCACTTTGTTAAATATTTTACAGATGCTGGCTTCTGAGCTCTGGCAACCCAGAGACTTGCAAGTCAGTCTGCCCCTAGGTACACTTCCCAGGGAGGGGAGTGTAAGAATCTCTAATGGTGAATTTCTCCCACACCCTCTCTTTGGATGCTGATACGCTCAGAATTCTTAGACTGTAAAGAGGAATCAGGGTTGAAGGAGGGGAAGGACAGAAGAGCTAGGAGCCTAAGCCTGTTCCCAAACAGGAACAACTACATACCGTTTTGGTCCTCAGCACTGCACACTGAAAAGGAAAGAGAGAGATGATGTCTGAATATGTGCTGGCACGAGGAAAGTCTCTAGCCACCTGCCTTCATTTCTGCTTCCCTGCTGGCAACCAGGCTGGCAGGACCCTCACTCACTCTGCATGCTGAGAACTCACACACAGCTTCTGCTGGTGTCTGGTCTCATCTAAGAAAAAGGGATTCCACTGGTTTGCGTGAACAAAACTGCCATGTAGGAAGGATACTGCACAAGCACACTATCCTTTTCTATTGCTTTTGAAGACAGCATTAAAGACAAGAAAGAAGAACAGTGTGTTCCAGTCAGCCAGGGAGTCTGGATAAAGTTCCTAGGTGGAGCCATCTCTCCTATTCCCCAGGTCCTCATAACTCTAGGGCGAGTCTGGGGACAGTCCCAAAGGGAAGAGTGAGTCTGTGATCAGGGGACTAGTCAGATGTCTCCTAACTCGGATGAATCTGAGCTACTGGGAGAGGAGAGCCTGAAACCTGACTTCAACCACTGCCAGCATGCAAGGAATCAAACGGTGATCCGCACAAGCTCCGTTGGCTGGGGGGTGGGGGGCGGGATCTGGGTGAAATCATTTCAGGAAATGCAGAGTTTAAAACAGCTAAACACACTTCTCTTCTGCAGGACTTGTCTGCCTTTACTATTACAGCATCCACCATGAATCAGGAACAGCGGGACATAATATCAAGTATTTTTTCCCAAACTCGTTTGACCACATTGCCTGAAAATGACACCATGTAGACTGCTTTGGAAATGAATGAAAGGAAAAGCCCAAATGCAGGCAGAACAGATATATTCTCCTCGCATCATGTGTGTGAAGCTTCATTTCCTCATCTCGCAACTGTTTGGAATAAGTATTGTTGGAGGTGGTAGCGAGTACAGCACATGGTGGGAAAGGCCGTGGACTTAGACCAGGAAATCCTCAGTTCAAATCTGGGCTCTACTATAAAAGGGGGATGCTAATAATGCCTACTTCATAGGCTGCTCTGAGGACTAAATAAATGTATACGAGGCCTAACCCAGTCCTGGCACTTGACTCCAAATGACAGCTATTATTAGATAGTGCAAATGTGTAAGGTGACTCCTTCTCTGGCTAAAAGCATGGAAATTTAGTCAAGTCGATGCTGTCATGCTTTAGAGTGACAGCAGGCACTCCAGAACTCTGTGCAGCTGCCACCCAGACAGCCCCTCACCCAGGTGCTGGAGTCCTTTCTGATCCTTGTACAGCCGCGTCACCTTCTCCATCAGCTCCCACTTCTCACAGCAGCCCTTGTAGTTGACGAAGTTGCGAGCCAGAATCTCTTTCAGCTGCCGCACAGTCAGACCTTCAATGTCCTCCAGGTCGGTCAAGTCAGACAGAGAGGCCCTCCGGCCCGGGACAAAGCTGTCCTCTGAGTCGACAGACTGCAAAGGCAAAGATGAGATCGGTGGGCTCAGCTCTTACCTCCCCAAGCTCTCTCTCCAAGGGCCCCAGAGTACTCATCACACCCTACTTTTCGTGACTGACCTCAAGAAGAGTAGGAACAGAGGCAGGAAGAGTACCTGGCATAGTGCTTTACATTGCAAAATAGACCGGTCTCTTCCGGACCCACAGTTCTGAGCTCAGGCACAGCCAGTCACAAACCAAGAAATCAATGTGATACAGTAGAAGGAGAGCACCAGTTTGAGTCAGATGGCCCTAATTTTGAATCCCCACTCCTCCAATGATTAATGCTAAATAGTATCAGGCAAGTTGCTCACTTCTCTGAGCCTGTCTTCCCTTCCATAAAGGGGAGATAGCAGTCCTGCCACACAGGCTTCCTGTGAAGATTAAATGTGGCAGCACAAGAAACCACCAAGCATGGTGCTGGTCTGTCTTTCTCTCCCCTGGCAAGCACTCCTCTGTAGGCAGCCTCGACCACAGCTCCGTGGCCCTGATGGCTGTGCTCTCTAGACTGGCCCGGCCATGGCTGAGGCCTGAACTTCCTCTCCTCTCTCCTCCTGATTATCTGACCTCCTTCCCCTGACACCAGCTACTGTGTGCTAGAAGCAGAAGAAAAGAACAAGATTTGCATAGGCAGCACCAAGAGCCTGCTTTCTGGCAGCTCTCAGCAAGTCAAAAATTGGACACTAATGGGGCGACGAGGCTCCCCAGTCTCCACTGTGACCTCACAACTCCGCAGTAACACTGCAACTTCGAAGGGTAATCTGGAACGCTAACATTAAACTCTACTGCTGAAAACAGAATTTCAGAAGAACTGTCATCAGACCGATTCTTCTCACTCCACTCCTCAGTCTACTGAGAGGTTCCTAATACAGCCTGAGAACACCAGTGAAAGAGCAGAGGCAACGGCCCAGACCCGAGCAGAAGCCCCACCTGGGTCTCATCCTCAGCAGGTGCTCTGGCTGTGCTCTCCAGGAAGACAGGTTCCTCTTGGTCCTGAGACACACGGCCACTGGCCTGTGGGAAGAGAAAGGTGCCATCACATCCACAGAGATGTCCCAGGGATTTGCATAGCATGGGCCTCTTCCCAGCGCACACCATGTCCAGAATGCATTCCCATCTCCCCCAGAAATCTGCAGTCTCCACAACAGCGTTACAAAAGCCTGCTCTCTTATAATGACTTCATCACGCAGGCAAACAATATAGATTTCAACTCTAGAACAAAAGTGCATTAATCCTGCCCACCACGAGGATGGCCTTAGCCACCACTCACCATCAATTTAGTCTCAGCTTGAACACTCCGAGGGAAAGGAAGATCACATGTCCATTCCACCGCTGGACTGCCCTCTAACTGCCATCGAGCTTTTTCTTGACACTGACCCCAACTGCCCTCCCTGTAACTTCTACCTACCATCCCTAGTTCTATCCCTCGGACCAATGTCCACTATTTTTCCTTTCCAACTGTTCATATCATGTCTTCCCTTCCTCCACACTAAATCTCCCTGGCTTCCTCATGTGGCCCACATGAGACAGTTTCCAGACCCTTACCACCCTATTCCCTCTCTTCTGGACAGTCACTGCTCTCACATTCTAGAAATGTGCTCCAACCAGCAGGGCACACTATTACTAAGAGCTGTCTTGAAACCTAGTCAAAAATTATTTTAATGCATCTAAGAATCTATTAGCCTAAGACTATATAAGACAAATGCCTATGCTTAAGGAGTTTCATTCTGCTTAGAATTCTAACTTCTCAAAAGGCTCCTGCTAGGTACTCCTTCAGGTTTTGCCAAAGAGTAGTCAGAACTGTGAGCCTCCTAATCCCATCACCATTTAAGCCACAAACCCCTTAACCAGATCCTCTTAACCTACTGCTCCCTCCAGGCAAAGGGCCTGGGGACAGCCCAGAGCAAAGAGGTGTCTGAGCTCACAGGCCTTTTCGACTAGACCCTCAGAGCACCAGGAAAGGGAAGCCTGCATAATATGGAGCTCATTAAGAAGAGGCAAGCAACTACAATGGAAATGAAAAGCAGTAATAACCACCACCACCAAAAACGCCAAGTGATGATAAGATCACACAATGGCACACACGTATGTGGGTGCATCCAAAACACCTCTAGTGTCCTCTTGGCTTTAGGGAGGTGTGGTACCCACAGGCCTCCTGGTGTCAGCTGGGTGTTACAAAAAGTCTGTCAGAACCAAATCTGTTCCTAAGAAGATAGCTTTTGTATGTCCTTTTTTCCCTAGAAAAGAGAAACTAAATCTCATGCTGCAAAGCATGCTCTTGTTTTTTCAGTTTGCCCACTGGCTGAATCAAAATCTACAACTAGTATCTGTCCACAGTTCTGCTTATTCCATACACCTCCTTCCCTAGCAACTATTGCTAGGGCATTAAGGGTAAAGGAAAGAACCAGAACAAACACTATGAGCAGATTTGCATTCCAGGTGCAGCTCACTTGTGGAATTGTCAGGTAGCCTTGCGTAAGTTACTTCCTCCCCATCTGTTTTTCTGGCTTGCAAAATGCAGATCTCACCAGAATAGGGGATGTGAGCTGACACGAAGGCCCTCTGAAAACAGCAGAGAAGTACTCAATGAGATCTGGTACATAGTGTGACCTGTAGGTACAGTCTGGAAATTTGTGGTTAACAACAGGAAACTTTAAACCTACTCCTTTCATTGAAAAACCCACCTGCAGGTTCTTTAGGGAAAAACAATTTCCTCAAGTTACTCTCCTGGCTCCCCATAAACAGGAGTGCTCAAAGTGAGGAAGTCTTAGTGGGAGGTAAAACCTGTCCAGCAGACAGAAAGCCAGAGCCTAAGAAAGTCAAACTCCAGCTGGGGAGAAAGGATGCTCAAGCCAACAAGGAGCTAAGTGAGTTTAGTGCAGGTAAAGTATGCTAACACACTGGCCTTTATGCCTCAGTGCCCATCAGAGCTGAATCAGGGGGCCCAGTGCTGGCAAAGGAAGTGATCATCAACAAGAGACAGCAGCTAACCACATCCTGTGTGAGAACCGACAACACTAGTACCATGCCAACTCTAAGTAGCTCAAAGCTCTTTAGATGTGATATCACACTAGTCAATCCTCCCAACAGCCCGGCAAGAGCAAAAATGGTCTGGAATTACTAACCCCATTTCATTGTTGAAGGCTCAAAGTTTGCCCAAGGTGACCAGAGAGTCACTGACAAATTGGATGTGGAAACCCAATTTTCTAGGTCCTAATCCCCCCACTATTGCCCAAGCCATATAAATAATAGGGTCACGAAGGGACTTAAGTATATCTATGGGACACCATCACTCCTTACACAATGGTTAAGTCCACTGGCTTCTCTAATCCAATAGTTGGTTTGGGTGTCTACTTTCCCTCTTAGAGGGGCTTTCTGGGGGCAGAGGCAATGTATTACTCATCTCTGTACTTCCCATGACTGCTTCATAATTCACTCAACGTGCTGCTCTTAGCTTACCATTTCCAGGCCCCCTGGGATGATAAGGCAGCTTACCTAGTATGCCAACCATTCCCCTGCCCAAACAGTGACTGGCGAGAGAAGCAGTCTCCTTGTCTTGGGCACAGTGTTTCTCCAGTCTCCCTTCCCTCTACATGTTCTTCTTCTCCCTACGTGTCTTGTGATGGTTACTAAGGAACCGAGTTCCCCATCCAGCCAAGGAAGATCACAACAAAGGTGAGTAAGTAGGAGGACAATTTGAACAGAACTAAATTTGGAGAGTTAACAGTGAGTTTTCTCAAAATATTTCTATAACAATGAATTTTTTAAAATATCTAAGTGGGATATGTATGTATTAAAAACAAACAAAAAGGGGCTAGCCACTGGCGTAGCAGTTAAATTCGCATGCTCCGCTTCGGCAGCCTGGGGTTTGCGGTTCGGATCCCGGGTGTGGACTAACGCACCACTTGGCAAGCCATGCTGTGGCGGCATCCCATATAAAGTAGAGGAAGATGGGCATGGATGTTAGCCCAGAGCTAATCTTCCTCACAAAAAACAAACAACCAACCTGGTACCATGCATTATCATCTGGTACCGTGCATTACCATCTCTGAAAAAAGCCAAAACATGTGTCTGATATCCAGAAAACCTCATTCATGCGTCAGTAGGCAGAAAGGCTTCACATAATCAAGACACTTCACCTCTCGCCCTACTCCACAATGCAGGCGGGAGAGGAAAAGGAGCCCTCCAATTGGCAGAGATCGGCAGAGACTGCAAAGAGCGCATACCTGCTGATTTTCCTGAGCCTGCGCTGGGGGCACAGAGGTGGCTTGTGTGGGTGAAGAAGGGATGCTGGGTGAGGTAGGAGGTACTGTGCTGGTATGAGGCTGGATCAGGAAGGCCTGCTGCTCGGGGAAGTCCGGGGACAAGGTGGGGGCACGAGTCCTGCCCTCCTGGGAGATTACAGGCTGCTGGCCAAGCACCAAGAACACCAGCTCCTCTTTCTCCCGGCACATTTCGGTAGAGATGTCATGGAGGCTGAGATAGTCCCTCAGGTCCTTCACCTTCATCTTCATGAGCTCCTCCCGCTGAAAGGCTGTGGCTCGGAATCGTTGGCAGAGAAGGCAGAGGCGGGGCCCATTACCCACTTGGCTCGAACAGGTCATGCAGAAATTTTTCTTACAGTCCAAGCAGGTCTGCTGCAAGAGGCAGAGGAAACCACTAGATTGTGAGAACAAGACAGTGGGATGGGAACTTAGGGCTGCCAAGCCTAGCGAGACCTCCTCCAGTCACTCTTACTTTTACTAAGCTACCTCCTACACCTAAGGATGCAAGCTACCTTGAAGAGTTCAGGTGAAAAGCCACTCAGAGGTGGCAGACCCCCGTGTACAACTGTGTATCCATGTATAGGATACTACATTTATTATTCCATTTCAGGCTTACTTTATTCATTTTACTGACAGAGAAATGGAGGCTAAGACTACTAGCTTTAGTATCAAAAAGCCCTGCATTTTATTAAATCTCCCTCCTCCACTTCTTGTGGTGTCACCTTGAGTGTGTAACTTAGCCTCTCTAGCCCTCAGTTTCCTCACCTGTAAAATGGGGATGATAACAGTATCTACCTCATAGGATTGTTGTAAAGTTAAGAGATAATGCATTTAGCATGTCTGGCACATGACTCTTCAATAAGTGTTAACTGTTTTAATTATTACGGCTAGGGAATACGAGCTAATGAGAGCCAGGATTCAAATCCTGAACTATGATTCTCTCTACTTTATTGGTGAGATAAGAAAGCAAATGCATAAATGGTGGTGGTGGCTGTTACTATTAATATTATTAATTAAATTTATTGAGGGATTACTATGTGGGAGAGCTCTACCTAGCTTGTCATTTACTTCTCAAAGCAACCCCACAAAGCAGGTATTCGTGTACCTCCCTGTTTCACAGACAAAGCATCCGAGGTCTAGAGAGATTAAGTATTGTATTCAAGGGCAGGCGTCAACAGCAGAGCTGGGCTTCATACTCAAGGTCTGTCTGAGTTTAATGCCCACAATCATGCTCTTTCCACCAGGCCATGTTGCCTAACTCAGTCCCATTCATGCCTACAGCAGTACTGAGTCAAGGGCCTGGCTCTCCATCTCCAAACTCCCAACCCAGTGCCGCATCCACAGAGGCTGGTGCCTAGGCTCCCCCACCCCAGAAAGGCCCACTCAGAGTGCTGGGAATTCAGTGAGGCGTAAGAGCATATCCAAGACAAATATTTAGACAGCTACAGGAGGTCCTCTGCACATGATTAGAGAGTTCTCGTTTGTGAAAGTACAGAGTGTCTCAGACAGGCAACCGAGAGAGCCTGGCAGGCAAGCTGGTACTGCCTGGCAGCAGCTACTCCCACAATTGCAGACAACACAACACACAAAGGCCTGCTCAACTCACAGGAGCAAATCCTCGGCCTCTCACCCCACAGGCTGAGTGAGCACAGTGACATCGGACCGAGCTCTGTTCCAACCAAGAGCAGGGGCCCACAGGAGAGGAAGTTCCCGGGCACATTGGGACAGCCCTGGAGGGCACATTCGCCAATCTGTTAAAGAAACTAAAAACTTCATCCTATGGTGACTTAGGTATTAATCTAAATATTTTTGCTCCCTCTTTTCTAAGTATAGAAAGCTATTCAAGCTAACAAGAATGCCCAAGAGACTTAGATTCTCATAGTCAGAATCAGACACTCTAATGTGGGGCTGAAGTAAGTCTGCATGGCTGAGATAGTTATATTTAGTTTTGTCTAAGTGTCACTCACGTAGTAAAGGGAAACGAGGGCCGGCTCCGTGGCTTAGCGGTTAAGTGTGC